GAACTCATAAAGGACTACAACCTAGACATTCAATACCACGAGGGAAAAGCCAACGTGGTGGCAGATGCCCTAAGCCGGAAGACAAATCACTCCCTTAACACCACGTGGGTCCTACCGGACCATCTGTACAGGGACTTCCAAAGGCTACACATGGAAATAATAGAGCAGGGACAAACTCGCCCCAATGCCTATCTACTCAACACACAGGCCGTGCCCACCCTCTTCGAGGAAATCAAATCAGGACAACAACAGGACCCGGAACTAGATAAAATCCGCCACGACCTGACTCGAGGGAAAGAGGGCCCCTTCGAAGCACACCCAGACGGCAGCCTCCGCTACAAAGGGAGGTGGTGTGTACCCTCAACGCACCCCCACTTGAAACAGCAGATCTTGGAGGAGGGACACAACTCCCCTTACTCCGTCCACCCAGGCGGTGACAAGTTATACCAAAACGTAAAGAAATCATTTTGGTGACCGAATATGAAAAAGGAAGTCGCAGACTTTGTGGCCAAGTGCCTGAATTGCCAAAGGGTAAAAGCCGAACGATGCAAACCCAAGGGACTCGTACAACCCCTTGAAATACCACAAGGAAAATGGGATTCCATATCCATGGACTTCGTCGGAGGGCTACCCCCAACAAAAACCGGTAAGGATAAAATCTGGGTCATAGTGGATCGACTCACCAAGACAGCGCGGTTCATTGCCATGAAAGAAACATGGACGATGACGCAACTAGCCCAAGCTTACGTAAACCGGGTAGTGAAATACCACGGAGTTCCCCGGAACATTGTGTCCGACCGAGATTCCAGGTTCCTCTCGCAATTCTGGAAATCACCACAAGCGGCGTTGGGGACGCGACTAAAGCTAAGCACGGCCTTTCACCCCACCACAGACGGCCAAACCGAAAGAACCATCCAAACCCTCGAAGACATGCTAAGAGCCTGCGCGCTCGACTTCCGAGGAACATGGGAAGAACACCTAGACCTCATCGAGTTCTCGTACAACAACAGCTACCACGCGAGCATTCGCATGGCACCATATGAAGCACTGTATGGTCAGAGATGTAGAACCCCATTATGCTGGGAAGATATGGTCAACCCGGTAACACTGGGCCCCCAATACCTACAAGACACCATAGCTAAGGTCAAACGCATCCAGGAAAGGATGAAGGCCGCCCAAGACCGCCAGAAGTCGTACGCCGACCTAAAAAGGAAGCGAGCCGAATTCAGCCTCGGGGACAAGATCTGGCTAAGGATCTCGCCCACTCGAGGGGTAATGAGGTTCGGGAGGAAAGGAAAACTCAGCCCCCGGTTCATCGGCCCGTACGAAATCGTAGAGAGAATCGGAGACTTGGCCTACCGTCTCGCCTTACCCGCCGAGCTAGAACGAGTACACAACGTGTTCCACGTATCTCAGCTAAAGAAATACATACACGATCCAAGCCACGTACTCCAACACGAGACCGTGGACCTCGACGAGTCCCTAGTATACGAAGAGAAACCCGTAAGAATCCTGGACACCAAAACAAGAAATACCCGGAACCGAGTCGTGGAAATGGTAAAGGTTCTCTGGACCAACCACGGGACCGAGGAAGCCACATGGGAACTTAAAGACACAATGAAGGAGCGGTACCCCGAGCTGTTCACTCCAGGTAACTAAGGGAAAACTTTCCTTTCTTTTTGTCACCCAGGGCCAAGCTTCGGGGACGAAGCTTCCTGTTAAGGGGGGGAGAGTGTAACACCCCGTGTTACAGACCCTAAAACCAACTGATTAATTAATTAATTAATTAATAACCCAGGAGAAAGAATAAATTATAATGTTTAATTAGGGAAAAAGGCCACCATAGCCCATGGGCCCAATTATATAAACCCAACCCCTAAACCCAATAGGAATAAACTCTAAATAAACCCTTGGATCTATAAATAGGGAACTTAGGGAGCACCTAAAACCCCCTCCCACACGCCTAGACGCCCCATCACTCCAAGAAAGCTCCAAGAATTCCCTTAGAAGAAATCAAGAAAGCAAGAAAGCTTAAAGAAAGATCCTTCATAGCCAAGGAATTAATTAAGGCTAAGAGGTAACCCATGTCTCAACAAAACCTATTTTCATAGCTATGATTTCCCCTTAGGGTTTCCCCCATATTGTTGTAAATGGCGATTGATGATGATTATTATTGATGTCGATATAATGATTCCATGAGGAATCTTGATAATCTTGATATTGGGAGTTTCTTGATAATTATGATGTTCTTTATGAATAATTGGGATTCTTGATGATTATGTGTTGTTCTTGATGATTATGATGTCCTTGATGATTAATTGGTATCCTTGATGATTATATGTTGTTCCTACCGAATCTTGCAATTAGAAGACGAACCGTATTCTTGTTGATATAAAAGTGATTAGAACCCTAGGTTGTATCATATAATCTTATTCTTGGATTATCGGGTGGGAAATCGCATGTTTGGGTGTTGATTATGATTAGAAAAGCATGTTAGGTTATGTGCCGTTCGTTTATCGTATTTGATCCGTTAATTGTCTATGTGTTGTCGTTAATTACGTTGAAAGGTGTCTAAGCATGGTTTCGGGTTCCACAACGGTTCCCGGGACGAAAAGTGGTGAAAAGAGTCAGTGGGGGGTAGGGGACCCACCACCTACCCGCGGCAATTCGGGCAGCCCCGGCAGCGGGCAGCCGGCGGGCGGGCAGCTGCCCGCCGGGCACCCGCTGCCCGGAACAGTGTTACCGGCGGGTGGCCCCCCACCCACCGGCTACCTGCTGAAAATTCCCCCCCTCGGGACCCCGGCTTCCCCGTTTGATGTTTCCCCGATCCCCGTGGTGTCCCAACGGACCCCGTTTGTCGTGCCTATGTCTAGTTTGATGTTTCGGGTACCGTTCGTAGGGTTATGAGTCTCATGTATTGCATGCTAGTTGAATTGGTATCCCGTTGACCTAGGAGGAAGAAGTATGATCCCCTTAGGACTATTCTTAGTACGTGATGGATCACGCCTAAGGTTGTTATACGCTTTATTCCCCTTCCCAATGTGTAATGTGGGTTGCATGTGCTTGCTATGTGTTATGTGTGCGTGTTGCCCCAATTCGGTTGCGATCGGATTGGTTATCCTGAGCTGCGGTTCAGAAGCCGGCTACAGTCAGATGGGAATTCCTGGCTGCAGTCGGATGACGATATCCTGGGCTGCGGTCCAGAAGCTGGTTGTAGTCAGATGGGAATTCCTGACTGCAATCAGATGACATTTTCCTGAGCTGCGGTTCAGAGGCTGGCTGTAGTCAGATGGGAATTCCTGGCTACAGTCAGATGACACACTCTCTTGGGCTGCGGTCCACTGTTTGGTTGCGATCAAACATTATGATGAGCTGCGGTTCATCGGTCGGTTGCGATCGACCTCCCCGTGTTGCGATACGGGGCATGGTGCTGCGGGGCTGTGTCAGAGCTATATGCGCTGACCCTCATGTATGGGCATGCGATCGGTCCTGTGGCGCCAACAATGTGCATTATGTGTGTGATATGGGCGAGATTGTGATTATGTGTGTCTTGGGATGTGACTATGGGATTTATATTGGGGATTGTTTATGATGGGTGGTGATTATTGTTTATGCCTTGCATTATCTGCCTTATCTATTGTGAACTGCATATGACTGTTATAACCATTGCTTGCATCTGACCTTATCTGTCGAGTCATTCCCGGTTTTAAAAGCTAGAGTTCGTAGGATATATCTTCATGCTCACAATGGTTTTCGTATATCTATATATATATATATATATATATCTCTATATGTATTGTATTTCAACGCGTTGGAGTGGGTTACCAGCATCTCTCGCTGAACAGATATATTTGGCTTTCAGGCACAGAGGATTAGAGCACTGGAGCGCGCTAGAACTGGAGCGTAGAAGTAGTATAGTTTCCCTTTCGGCCTGCGTGCCATGTTATGCCTTTACATTTCAGAGGATAGTAGTTAGACAGCCTGTGCACCTGGGTTCTCCAGCCCAGGTGTGGCATAGCACCCCGTACTCTTATGTTACGCTTTGGGATTTAATGAGATGTTACCTTTATTATTAAGTTTTAAATGTCTTGAAAATCAGGGGTGTTACAGGTAGTGTTGCGGTGGATGTCACTCAATTTCGGCGTCTCCTTGGTGCATTCCAGTACTTGGTCATCACTAGGCCAGATGTATCCTATGCAGTTAACCGTCTCTCGCAGTTCATGCATTCACCGACAGAGCTGCACTGGCATGCGGCCAAACGGTTGCTACGTTATCTAAAAGGAACAGTTTGTCATGGGTTGTTTCTCCGCACTGGGCAACCACTGTCACTGAGTGTTTATACAGATGCTGATTGGGACGGTTGCACTACCGATGACCGTTCCACCACCGCATACTTGTTGTATCTTGGTGCTAATCTTGTTTCTTGGAAGTCCACCAGCCAGAAGTCCGTGTCACGCTCGTCGACGGAATCTGAATATCGAGCCTTAGCGAATGTTGCTGCAGAGGTCTTGTGGATAAAGAATCAGCTTCACGAGCTGCGGGTGCAACTAGTGAAACCACCAGTTATGTTCTGTGACAACCTTAGTGCGACATATGTGTGCAAAAATCCGATTTTCCATTCACGTATGAAGCATCTGGCGCTGGACTACTTCTTTGTTCGTGACTTAGTATCTAATGGTTCACTGGTAGTGCGGCACATTCTTTCGTCGGCTCAGCTAGCTGACTTCCTCACAAAGCCGTTGGGCCGCTCTTTGTTTCTTCTATTTCGTTCCAAGATTAGAGTCTCCGATGGATCCTCAATCTTGCGGGAGCGTGTTAAGGATATGTGTGGCTGACATTTTATCTCTTTATATTTGTGGTAGTTATGTTCCTGTAGAATAAGTGTGTTGAACAAGTTGTTACAACCTCCTACTATTCTCCCTCTCTTGTACACTATTTATAGCTCATTATTTTTACATCAATAAAGTACAGTTTATAATCTTTATAGTATTCAATCAATCTGAAGTGTTTACATAAACCTTAATCACTGCATGGGAAAAACATTGTTGGTAAAAGTATTTGGCAAATAATGACAAAATAGATCTTATATATAAAAGTACCTAAAACCATTTCATACTATTTCCATATATATAAGTCTCATACTTATATTACAGAATGAAGAAACTGACAACTTCAGCCATAGGAAGAACGAGGAAGCCACAGTGTACTCCAAATCTTGGTATCACACGCCCTTCCTAACAACATAAAGCATCAGATTTTATTCTCATCATATGCAAATATCTAAATGACTGTTTTAAGAAAAATATCACCAAAGAAGTTAAATATAAAAATAAAGCAGTAAAACAATCCAGAAAGAAGTACCATATATATGCTAGGGAGAATACAATAGGAAATACACACATAAATATGATAGTCATTATGCAAGGTAGGCCAGACTTCTCCTTAAAATAGTATGATTCACAAATTATATTATAACCTAGATATAGATCTCGGGTATCATCTGTCTTGCATAGATCACATTGATGAAAATTTTTACCATGGCAATAACCTCTGTAGAAAACCCCTAAGAAACAGACCTACATTGGACTATTAATTGCAAAATATATATTGTTCACCAAAACAAAATTAAAGAACAAGAAGTCTGTAAAAAGATAACAGACAGCCTCATGCAGCTCATTATTAGGAATTTAGAAGGAAGAACATGCCTCCATTTCAGTAGAATTTGCAAAGCATAATACTCAAATAGTATGAATCACAAATCAGATGATAACCTAGATATAGATTTAGGGTTTCATCTGACTTATTCTAGATTACAGAGATAACAGAGATGCAGAATTAAACATGTGCAATAACCTCTATTAACATTATATTTGTGAGCTTATTGGTGAGTTGTTGCTATTGAGTATATTCATACAGAAGTAGTTCATATCAAATGCAACCTCTTGAAATAGAATCAGGATTATCTTATCTTAACTTTTTTGCCTATTTGTTATCTTTTCTATTTGTTCTGCTATTATGTAAAACATGGTTTTCAGGATGCTTAGGTTAATGGAGTTTGGGTCAACATTCATCACCAAAATGAGAGCAATCTAGAGCTGGAATGCTTTGAAGGCAGAAACATGGAAGAATAGGACATGGAGTGTAGAAACACTGTAACTTTTAAAGTTTTTTTTTTTTGTTCAACTTATGACTTAGAGCTCTTCCAATGTAGTCTCTGTATTGACTATCTTAAAGTTACTGCTATGTATTTTTTTGCAACTTCTAAGTTAAAATTAGAACACAACTCTTAAATCCATCAAGAGATGTAGACTATTCACAAATAGATATCAAAACACACCAACAATGAGATGTAATATAAAAAGATATCCAAAAAGATATGTTTAAGATAAACACATTATGAAAAATATAGTCGAACAAAGCAAGCATCAGATATACTATATCTGTATCAAGTTGCAAAAAAAAAAACAAGTATCAAAACATTCACTTGGAGGGTTAAATGGAAACAAATATTGTATCACACTATTTCTTTGTGGAAAAAAAAAACTGTAATAAAAAAATAAAAATAAAAACAACTATAGGCATTTAGTTAAAAAACAATAGTGTAGTCAAAGCTGGACTTGCTGTTTTCTCAGTTCTATCAAACATTATAATAGATGGGATAACTTATCAAACAATTAATGCATCAGATCAGCACAGTTTCAACTTACAAAAAAATCTGATAGTGTTAATGCAAACTTAGGTTGGAAATTTTGTGACAGATATTGTATCACTTGATACAATGTGAAAAAAAAACATTATTAAATATAAAAACTATTTTTAAACATCAAGGTATGAACATTGTTAAATTTAATCAAAACTGGATTTACATTTAAAATAATTCTACCATTTGTTTAATCAAAACTGGATTTACAGTTACAAATAATTAGAACTACAATCTTTTACAGCATACTTCACATATATCAAATTTATTATATCATATAATACATTGCTAAGGAGAACTAGGAGCAAGATCGCAAAATAAAAATACTTAGGGTAAAAATCCTACTGTACACATATCATACCCTGCATGTGTGTTGATTAAGCAGATTCATAGTGAAATCAGTGAACTATTAACGATGTAGGAGCTTGAGATGTCAAAACATAGAACAAAACTTAAACCTAGAACTTGAAGAAAATATATCGGAGTATGAAAATAGAATAAATAAACCTCAAGTAGGTACTTCATTTCAGTCTCCTCTATTACCCACCGTCGGATTTCGCTGTGACATACCCGACCGATAAGTAGCAACCAGAAAACGAATCAGTATTACCTCAAATATATACCAATCTCAGTTAAGATCAACGTAATTCTGGACGAAACCAAGTATTTAGACACAGATCGCTATACTTCTATGAAAGAAGTACATGTTCACGGCCGAGATTGAGCAAAAATCTAGAGAGAGAGAGATGTACGATTGCCGGAAAATTATAGAGAGAGGAAGGGAGAAATAGTGAGACTGGTCTTACCGTTCTAGAGGGTGTTGTGTTTATGTCTTTCTCATTTTTTATATTTTAATTATAATAATAATTATTATTATAATATTACGATTATATTATTATATTATTATATTATTATATATTGAAGTTTTAATATGTTCGACGGAGTATATTAGATTCGAATTGTACTTAATATAATTATATTCTTCATATAGTTATTAGTTGAATTTGCACATAGATTTAGATAACATAAAAAATTAAATGTTATGTTATAATCTGGTGTTCAACAAAATAACATAACTAATTTGATGTCTATTATTTAAATTATTTTGGTCGCAGAAAATGAAATCGATTCCAGTACTAAGATAAGTAGGGGCTCAACAAGTGGTAGTTTATACTTTACGAAATCATGTTTATGGTCAGGGGCGGAGCTACGATTTGTTGGTGCGAGGGGTTGATCACCGTGTTAGAACGTACATTGGTTAATTCATTAGTCTGCAACACATCTCATTTGTCGTCACTTTATTGTTATTAATATTTTTTTGTGTAGTTCAAATTTAAGGAATCGACTCTAATAATTCAATTCATTTTGCTTATTTCAACGGATATAAAAAAAAACTTATTAAATATTTTCCGTGCATCGCGAGTGTAAAATACTTTTTAGTCTGTTTACATTTCAAAAATGAAATTATTTAGTGGTTGATACTCGCAAATGACAAATTTTTAACTTATAATATATCAACCATAAATTAAATAATTTATACTCCGTGCTGTGGGTCGGTGCAATCGTTATATCCTACACCACGGCGCACATAGCACTGTGCGCCGCGCGCCTCCCAAAACGATGTCGTTTTGGGGTAGTGTTGGGAGGCGTGGTAGGAAGTTGCTGAGATTATGTGTATTTGTTCACAACGTTATGTGTATTTGTTCACAACGTTATGTGTATTGGTTTATACAGTTATGTGTATTTTTTATACAATTATGTACATTCTTTTTATACAATTATGTACATCCGAATCAGAAAATTTGTGTGTATTATGTTAAGAGTTGATGTGTATTATGTTAAAAGTTTATGTTTATTATGTATTATGTTAGATTATGTGTATTATCTTTTAAAAAGAGTATGTATATTTTGTTATATAATTATGTACATTCATGTATAACATTATGTGTATTCTAGTATAACATTATGTACATTCTTGAACAGCGGGTTTTTTTTTAAAGAAAAAACTACTGCCATTCACTGGGGCGGGAAATTTTAAAAAAAAATAATAATTAAAACGACGTCGTTTTGCATCTGGGCGCATAGTGCAACACGCGCCGTGGTGTAGGATATAAATTGCCTGGTTTCTTCTCCAACCTTGGGCGAGGCTAACCAGGTATTAGTGCAGACGTTATGCCATGGAAGGTTCCAACGGTGTTAGTACACCGTTATCTTTTTTTTTTTTTTTTTTTTTTTTTTTTAATTAATTGCGTGACTTTTCTTCTTTATTTTCACATTTTGCGGTTTCACTATAATTTGAGGTGAACAAAGATTTTGGACATTCATAAATTATGAATTCATGCCTGCGCATTCACTTTGGAACCATGCCTACATATTCCCGTCCGAAATCACGGACATTCATAAATTATGAATCCATGCCTGCACATTCACTTTGGAACCATGCCTACACATTCACTTTGGAACCATGAGATTATGAATTTTCTGTTATGCGATTATGAAATATATCTGTTATGAGATTATGAATTTTCATTACATTCATAATTTTGGACATTCATAAATTATGAATTCATGCCTGCACATTCACTTTGGAACCATGCCTACATATTCCCGTCCGAAATCACGGACATTCATAAATTATGAATCCATGCCTGCACATTCACTTTGGAACAATGCCTACACATTCACTTTGGAACCATGAGATTATGAATTTTCTGTTATAAGATTATGAATTTTCTGTTATGAGATTATGAATTTTCAGTTGTGAGATTATGAATTTTCAGTTGTGAGATTATGAATTTTCTGTTATGCGATTATGAATAAAATTCATAATCTCATAACAGAAAATTCATAATTTGATCAAACGCGCGCCGTTAACTCCACATCCGCGAAATTTTTTTTTTTTTGCCTAGAAACGACGTCGTTTTGCCTTGTGTTCACCATTCTCGGTGAACACGATTCCATGGCATAATTTGCGGGTATTAGTGAGAGTGGGCTTACATAGGTTAAATAGATTTTGTAGAGTACTCAAGGCCCAATTGCCTGATTATTAATTTGGATTGCTTTTTTATCTTTAGGATTTGGGCCATTTTTTTTGTAAATACAAATGTAGGTTTACAATTTTGAGACTTATTAATTATGATGTGTACTATATTCTTTAATTTACTAAACGTATATTGTATGTTATTATATATACCGTAATGTACTTATTTGATGTATACTATATATAAAATTTGTAGTAAATTAATAATGTATTTTTGAAAAATGGTGCATAGATATATGTATCTCAACTTATTTAAGTAAAAGTTAGTTTTCTATAAATGCATACTAAATTTGAGTTAAGATTTATTAATTTTAGTTAGATATATTTTGTACTAATATCAAAATATATTAATAACTTATATGTAACTAAATTTTAAAATTAATTTTTAATACACCCATTGTTTTAGGTTGCTATTCATTAAATTCAATTATGTTTTTCAGTATGATATTTGTTAAGTTTTGGTAGTTGCATATATATGAATCTATACTTATTTAGTTTAAAATTAATTTTCTATAAATGCATACTAAATTATATTTAAGATTTATTATTTGTAGTTGGATATATTTTGTATTAATATAAAATTATATTAATCACATATATGTAACCATATTTCAAAATTAATTTTTAATACACCAATTGTTTTAAGTTGTTATTCATTAAATTGATTTCTGTTTTTAAGTTTGATAAGTGTTAAGTTTTGGTACTTGCAAATATATGTATATCTACTTATTTAGGCAAAAGTTAGTTTTCTATACTTGCAAATTGTACACTCACTAAATTATAGTTAAGATTTATTAATTTTAGTTGGATATATTTTGTATTAATATCAAAAGGACTATGCAGACAAAAAATGGACACACGACAAATTAGCATCATGCACACAATTTAAAACACAATGGCACACTAGCTTACATATAAATTAATTAAACATCAGGTTTTGAACTCAGACTCTATTAATTAATAAACCTATGCACACGATACACATACTATCGCATAGAGATTTACATATCATATTTATATTTGAAATTTAATAAGACTAATAATTTTTACTATCACACCATAACAACAATACATAGTGTTGGGGTTGGGTTTTGTTTGTTTTGTTTTATTTTTGGCCAAATTTTGGTAATATGAATAAAAATTTTGATTTCGAGATTAAATAAATGGGTTATTACGTTTAATAAATGAGTTGGGGTTTGGTTACATAAATTTATACTAATATGTAATTATTTTAAATAATTTTTTTAAATTTATATATTTAAAATTACAATTTTTTTAAATCTATATATTTACAATACTTTAGAATTTATGTAATTATTCCATCTAATTTTTTAAAGTTATATTTATAAAAATATACAATTTTTAAATTTTATATTTATAATCTGGGTATAATTTGACAAAGTGTAGAAGAAATACGATACAAATGAAGATCCTAAGATACAGAAGAAGAAAAATACTAGAGAACGAGAGCTTGGGCTGAGAACTGGTATCGATGTTGACAAAGTGAAGATATGAGTAGAAGTCGTGTCTAGATTGCCTATTGAAGAAGGCGAAATGTTTTGCACCTTTTATACTTAGGGTTAGGATCAGACATATGAGATGTGCTTTACTCTATGTTGGGCTAATAAAAAAGTTTGGATTATGAATATAAAGAGATTGAAGAGTGTGCAAACTGGATAGCTAATATAGGTGACGGAACAGTTAGTAATTCAAGTGATGGTGAAACAGATATTACAATTTCAGATGAGTTATTGCTCAAGTGTGATTATGATCCTATTGCTACAATTGTTGATAGCACCTTCCCTATGTTTAGACGTGGTAATGGGGATTTGTCATATCTTAAGGATAGTGCTATTTTGGCTCTAACATTGGATTTTGTAGATAGCATTAACCAATACATGAATGATCATAATCCGGCTGAGGGTGGGACTTACTTGAGTTGTGATTCTGTTTGTAAGTCAGATTCGAATGTAGATATCTTAGCGGATTTGCACACTCCAGAATTCTTGAATGGTCTGCGATGTTCTGGAGTACCTATCATGCTTTGACTTTGAAAGTTGGGTCACCTGTTATGCTCTTGAGAAATATTGATCACACTCCTGGGTTATGCAACGGTACAAGGTTCATTGTTACAAGGTTAGCTGATCACGTGTTGGAAGCCCATATCATGTGCGGTACAAATGCAGGTACAAGAGTATTAATTCCCAGAATGTCACTGACATCGTCAGATCCAAGATTGCCTTTCAAATTCCAACGAAAGCAATTTCCTTTGATGTTATCCTATGTCATGACAATAAACAAAAGTCAAAGACAAATACTTTCAAAAGTGGATTGTTTTTTAAAAGACCGGTCTTTAACAATAGCCAAATGTACGTAGCTGTTCAAGAGTTAGTAATCCAAGGGGTTTTAAAATATTGATTTGTGGCGAAAATGTAACATGTCTAAGTACGACACAAAATGTTGCGTACAAAGAAGTCTTCAACAATGTGTAATAAAATTTCAAAATTTATTAGATTTTCAATAACTATATTTTATACTGTATATTCCATATACTATACATATGGCCATGCAACGCACGGGTGCAACTACTAGTTACTCCTATGGCGAGAAGATTTCATTTGTTTCCATGTAGCAAGCTGACTCATAGCAGATGTCCACACCTCACCAGGATCTCAAACAATATTGCTCCAAATCAACTCATTCATACGTTTCCATATATTCCAGGCCAAAAATAGAGCTTGCACCCCAACATCATCATCCACAACTTTCAGGAAACGCTCAAAAATCATATCCGTGGAATCGCCATGATGAATACATGTCTGCATAGTCTGAGCATTCCAAACAGATGCAACCCTTGGACAATGAAATAAAACATGGCTTATGGTATCTTGGCCAGCCAAGCACAGCGGACACACATAATAACACGAACAAAAAACAATAATAATGGCAGAAAGGTAAAGAAGGCAAGATTTACGTGGTTCGGCAATGTGCCTACACCCACGGGAGTGAAACAATACTCTTATTCATAGTGATGGTGATTGTGGTGACACAACCCCTTAGGGATACAACCAATATATTTATAGGCATCTAATCCCTATACAAAGGGTCTACCCATTTCACTCATACTCCTAGTATGAGACAAACTCATATTCCTAATCCATATATGAGACAAACTCAACAATCTCCACCTTGGCGAATATGCTCTTTAGGAGAAAAGATAACTCAACAAATCTCCACCTTGACGAATATGCTCTTTAAGAGAAAAGACTTATCTCACCATCTACACCTTCACATATATGCCCTTTAGGAGAAAAGACTATCTCCACGTTGGTGTATATGTTCTTTAAGAGAAAAAGATAACTCAACAAATCTCCACCATGGCAAATATGTCCTTTAGGAGAAAATACTTATCTAACTATCTCTACCTTCGCAAATATGCCCTTTAGGAGAAAAATACTTATCTCACATATACACATGGGTAGGAACAACCATACTCATCCCAACTAGCCAGCCATATGCACCACGCAACATCAAACGTTTTCCAGTGCATGTACAGAACCGCTTTGTCCCAAGCCATTCGCCCTCAGCCGTCGACTTGTTATACCAGCCGCGACTCATGCTTACTGTCTCGTTTAGCTGACCTCCTGCAGCTGACCCATACTAGGTCTATATCCCCTCCTAGTATCCACGTTGCCTCTAACACAACAGCGCCCCTGCAAAGTTATACTAAACTCGTGTGCCTTTCCCAATGCTCCACTAACCAGCAATTGCCACTAGTCAGCAACACGCACCACACAACATCAAACGTTTCCCCGTGCATGTTCACGAACTGCTTCGTCCCAAGCAATCCGCCACACCAGGCCATATTAGCCCAGCTCATACCGATCCCAGGTCCACGACCCCTCCTGGTATCTGCGCTGCCTAACACTACAGCGCCCCTCACCATCTTCTCATCTAGCATTTAGAAATGCCCAACAAGTCCAAACAATGTTCGAACTTGTTACTAGTTACCGCTAGAACATCACCATCACTATAATCTAAGTCATCAGTATGTACCACGTTCGCAGCCTCTTGTTGCTTCTTCAACTCTGGACAGTCTCTTTTCATGTGCCCAATCTCTTTACACTTGTAGCACCAGATTTTCTTGCAATTTCTGGACTTAGACCTAGAGTCTCTCTTCCCAGAATTATCCTTCATTGGCTTCCTACCACGATCTTGACTCCCCTTGGCATACAAACTTTCACCAACAGATCCATCTCCTACATTCTGCATGCGCTTATTATGAGCCTGCAGGGCCGCGGAGATCTCGCTGTATTTAATCGTGCTTTTCCCGTATGTTAGAGTAGTCACCAGATGTTCAAAGGAAAAAGTTAATGAACATAGAAAGATCATCGCCTTGTCTTCATCTTCAATCTTGACATCAAGCCTGGCCAGATCTGAGATTATCTGGTTGAAGAATTAATATGATGCACCAAGTCTGGACCCTCATTCATCTTAAGCCCATAAAGCCTTTGCTCTAGATACAGTTTGTTCGTTAGAGATTTTTCCATGAACTGAGTTTCTAAGTTATCCCAAATTTCTTTTGGGGTTTCCAGGGCCATAACGTGATACACAATTCCATCATCCAGGCATAACCGAATGGTTCCTGTTGTACGCTCCTTCAAATCCTCCCAATCATCCTCTTCCAGATTAGATGGCTTTTCTGTCTTCAAGGTTTTCAGAAGACCCTGTTGTGCCAACAAATCCTTTACCCTATATTGCCATAACCCAAAATTCCCTGTACCATCAAATTTTGATACCTCGAATTTTGTACTTGAACTGGTTATCTCAACAGTGCTTTGATACCAATTTGTTGAGATTAACACGAACAAGAAACAATAATAATGGCAGAAAGGTAAAGAAGGCAAGATTTACGTGGTTCGGCAATGTGTCTACATCCACGGGAGTGAAACAATACTCTTATTCATAGTGATGGTGATTGTGGTGACACAAACCCTTAGGGATACAACCAATATATTTATAGGCATCTAATCCCTGTACAAAGGGTCTACCCGTTTCACTCCTACTCCTAGTATGAGACAAACTCATATTCTTAATGCATATATGAGACAAACTCAACATCAACTCCTCTATACTTTAACTGCGATCGGACAGGAATGATGCCATGAACACAACGCCAAACAAAATTCTTCACCTCGGGGGCACTGCTAGACCCCAAAGCTTGTTAACTTTTAAGTTACCTATTAATTTCAATAAGAAAGGTCTTAGGTTTGAACCTCATTCCTATCAGAGTTTGCATAATTGTTGAACATATACTACGAATATGTTAGAGTATATTATTGAAAACTAAGTACCCTACTCTATTACTCTTATTAAATTAAATAAATTAGTAGCTACAACAAAAAATTAATTCATATGCATTTCTTTAATTTAGAATTCGATTTCTACAATTCCTTTATTTTCTGTCTTTATTTTATACAATGCGAAGATTCATTACCTTCAAATTTATTAATTAATTAATTATATTCACTACATTGTTCATTGTGTTCTTTTTACATCAGCTCTGTTTGGTAAAATAGTTAGCCTATAGGCCAATTTTGGCTTATTTGACAACTATTAGCTCTATAACTGGTTAACAAATTAATATAAGTGTTTGGTTAATTAGCTTGTTGTAACTCCAAAATGCTAAAATTCAAAAAGCTACGCAAATCAACTTTTTCAATTAGCTTTTTTGGAAAAGAAATTATACCAAACAATTATCACCTAACAACTAATATACCAAAGACCTTTCTACAATCAGCTAATGTTATTGATAAGTGCCAAAAGACACATATTTTGAGGTTTTAAAGAGGGTATTTTATGCTTGATACCCTTTATACGTGTTGCTTACGCTTATATTTGCTAATGTGCCACAAAACACCATGTTGCTTTGCGTTTCTATGATTTAGGAAGGTTTTAGAGCAAAATGGAGGTTTGGGAGCACGAAAGGAGCATCACAAGGATAAGGCAAAAGCCGGAGTCGTGCTGGAGCAATCAACACACGTGGGAGCCGGCGTGGAAGCAAAACAGAAAGATCCACACATGTGTGGGAACGTGTAGAGGCAAACTAGAGAGATCCACGCACCACTTCCACGCGCGTGGGAAAAAGCGGGAAAGAGTATAAGTGACCAATCCACGTGTGTGGGACGGAAATCCTGTGACACTCTAAAAATCCGACTCCTTAATTAGGATTAATTGAAGAATTAATCCTAATTTCCTTGATGAATTCCTTTCCTAAATCTTGAAATTTAATAATCAAGGGACTAGAGGTTGACTAATTCCTTAGTCAACCATGAGTACCTTATGCTTTGTGCTTTGTACCTAGCCTTTTATCTTCCTAGCCTTTTAGTAAGGGTAAACTTATCCTTTCACACATGATTGGTGTTTAAGCTTACCCTAGAAAGACACACATTTCATTCATCATCTTCTAGCCAATCTCCTAAACACTCCACCTTCTCTCTAAGTAATCTTGGCCTACTCTCCAAGCTAAAAGAAGATCTTCCTAGCCTTGCAAAGATTCAATCCAAAATCCCACCTTTCTACCTCCCAAGCATAGGAAGGGGTAAGATCTAAAGTTATTTAATGTTTTTAGTTAGCTTTAAGGTGTCTTTATCTAAGTTTGGTGTTTTCTTGTGGTTTGGCTTGTGTAAGAAGGTTGTGAGGAAGAAGAGCTTCAAAGTAGGGCCAAGGAGGGTTAGAAGAAAGAATGTTTTGGTCTTCAAAGGTAACCTATACTCTATAAAACCTATTTTATACTTGATATTGATGATTCTTGACTTCTATTGATGATTCTTGATGTTTTTGAGTGATTTGATGCATGATCTTGTGATAATGCATGTTTAGAGCTTGTATCTAGGTTTCTTGAGTGTTGTTCTTTGATCTATTCTTGGGTTCAAGTCATTTCCTTGTTGTATGTGAGATTTGGGGTGTTTTGGACTTGAACTTGACCTTGAAGATGAAATTCCCGGGAAGGGAATTATTTGGGGTTCAGATGTTCCCCACGGGCGGA